AGCTTGGGAGCAGCACAGTGGAGTGGAAGGAGCATGGGAGATGTACAATAAATACATCATGGTCCTCCCACTGAAGGGCTTTATCATCCCACTGGGAAGATGGGACACGCATAGAATGAGCAGCAAAGAATGACACTGCAAAAGTGATCCCGGAAGTAAGTGGTCTAGGAGATCAGAAAAGGTAGCGAGCCTTCAGGCTGGTGTACTGTCATGGTGGAGGTGAGATTTGGCAAGGCCTCAAAGGTTGGAAAAGTTTTGGCTCAGAAAAAAGGGGCAGGAAGGACTGAGCAGAGGTGCCCATGAAAGGTCAAAAAATGAATACTTGAGGAGAAGGAGCAGGGTTGGCTGGCTGAGGAGAGGGTTCACGAGGTGTTGTTAGTTGCTGTTGAGTTAACTTCAACTCATGGCGACCTTATGTATAACAGAGCAAAACATTGCCCCATCATTATAATCACTGATACGTTTGAGCCCATTCTTGGGGCTATTGTGTCAATCAATCTCACTGAGGATTTCCCTCATTTTAGCCGACCCTCTACTTCACCAAACATGATGTCTTTTTTCTAGAAATTGAGCTCATAAGGGGAAGCTACTCTTTAATGATCATTTACTATGTGCCAGGCACACGTCTTACGTCATTTCGTCTTCAAACAAGTTGAACTTGAGCATGTACAAGGACAGAGCAAGACCCAAGGAAGCTCAGGGTGGGTGGGTTGGCAGCACCTTTGAAGACTCTCATTGGCAGCCATCGGCTGGTGACTATTGCAGGGCTCAGGCAGGACCTGGACACCTCCACTCTGTCCAGGATGCATCAGGGATATGGGCATTCCTGCTGTATCCTGGGGGTGGCTGCCAGTTCCTCGTGTCTATACAGTGCTTTCAACTTTTCAAAACATTTTCCACACAACCTGTCTTGTTGCTTCTCACGATAACCCTGTGAGATAAGTAGGGCAGATGAGGAAAAGAATCCCAGGCAATTGAAGAGATTTGCATGAGCTCACACAGTGAGCAGGTGGCAAAGTTGGGACATGAACCTGGGTGTCTTCCCTCTAGCCCCAGGCTCTTTCCACTAAAGCACCTCGTTTGAAACAACAAGGTTGCTTGGACTAATCAGGCTGAGCTAGGGGCTTACAGGCAGGAAATTCAGGCCCCGTGGCCTGCAGCCTGCCTGCTTCCCTCACTGTCTGTTTTCCCCACCGGGTAGTCTGGATATGGCCTGTGATGAGAATTTCCCTTTCCCATGCCCAACTTTTCCTCAGCCCAGCTGAGGCCCTGTCTTAGTCACAACTTTCTTGGATGCAGGTAATAGAAACCTACTCAAGCTGGCATTGGCAAAAGGGAGTTGACTCTGAGCATGCACGTTGTCCCAGGAATTGCAAAGGGAGGACTGTAGACTGGCCTCCAAAGGGATCAGGAAAGGGAAAGCTGGCAGCAAACGAGGCCACTCCTCCTCAGGCTGCCTCTGCTTTCTCTGTGCCTCTGTTTCATTCCCTCTCTGAGCCCTTCAGAGGGTGGTCTGTAACTTCTGACAGCAGACTGCTGAAGCCTCTCAGTGTGAATTCCAGAAGACTCTGAATTCCCTCAATTCCAGGTCCCCAGCTTGGGTCAAGTGTGCATCCCTGGTCCAGTCAGCTAAGGCAGAGGGCCAGGACTCTGTAGACCAAACATGGCCCCAGGGACCCACCCACAGGGCTGACAGGGTGCTGTTTACGGGAGGCGGTGCAAGCAGACACCTAAAAAGGTGGCTCCTGTAAGCCTCAATTGGCCTTCAAGTCAACAAAGTCTTGCCTCCTTCTCTCCCTTCCTCTGTCACTGGCCAAGTGCAGGTGCTGGACATTAACCAGGCAGACGCAGGGACCCTGCCCCTGGACTCCTCGCAGAAGGTGCGGGAGGCCCTGATGTGCGAGCTGAGCAGGGCCGAGTTTGCCGAGTCTCTCGGCCTCAAGCCGCAGGACATGTTTGTGGAGTCCATGTTCTCTCTGGCCGACAAGGATGGCAATGGCTACCTGTCCTTCCGGGAGTTCCTGGACATCCTGGTGGTCTTCATGACAGGTGAGGGTGGAGGGAGTGATTTTCCAGAGAGAAGAGGATGGACAGGCTGGGAACCGAGGCTGGAGTGTGACTGACTTGCTGGAGATGGGGGAGCAGTGGGGGCAGGTCTCCAGCCATGGCAGATGTCTGGGAGCACCTAGGTAGGGGTCAGGAAGCAGAGTTACCCCTGCCGTGTTCAGCATTGGGTCACACCAACGGGAGGCTCCTTCTTGCCAGGGTTCAGGCAGGTGGGCTGGGGCTCTCTTAAAGGGTTCCTCCTTCTTCCAGGCTCCCCTGAGGAGAAGTCTCGCCTTATGTTCCGCATGTATGACTTCGATGGGAATGGTCTTATTTCTAAGGATGAGTTTATCAGGATGCTAAGGTTGGTCCAATGGGACAGTCAGGAAAGTGGGCCTATGCAGGGGCTGCTGGGAAAGGAGGTGGGACATGAAGGAGAGAGCAAAGGGGCCTCCTCCTTACCCATAGATCCCGAAACTGTTAGAGCTACTAGTGGGCTCAGGGTTCAGCCAGTCTGGGCCCCTCCACGTGGCCTCTGAAGGCCTGGTGGGATGGTCATTCTAGGACCTAGGCCCCTCCTCAGGCCCTGATGGCTCCTGTCTTCCCCAACCCCAGGTCTTTCATTGAGATCTCTAACAACTGCCTGTCCAAGGCCCAGCTGGCCGAGGTGGTGGAGTCCATGTTCCGGGAGTCGGGCTTCCAGGAAAAGGAGGAGCTGACATGGGAGGACTTCCACTTCATGCTGAGGGACCACGACAGCGAGCTCCGCTTCACACAGCTCTGCGTCAAAGGTGGGGTGGCCTGGTGGGTAAGGCCGACTTATCCACATACTTTTAGGAGACCACAAACATGTTTTGTTTATTTGAAAATCAGAAGAAAACGTGAGTGTTGGGTTGAGGGGGTGTTCTCGTTTTGTTTGCCATTATATCCCCCGTAGTGCTGAGTGCGTGAAGACCTGCTTCTTTGTCCCGTCTCCTACTTCCTGCCCCACCTGTGTCTGACTCAGGTGGGTGGGAGTAGAGTTGAAGAGGAGTATGCAGGTAGCAGGCAGGGGGGTTGCCTCTGGCCTGCTCTGAGCTGTTATGGTGTCTTCTCAGTTTAGGATTCTCAGTGGGACATGTTGAGACCAAACCCAGCTCCTCCCAGAATTGTGAGAACTTGAGGGGCCTGAGGAGCCTCAGTGAGGAAGGGAGCAAACAAGACACAGATGTGCTTCTGGTCAGGGCTGCCCTTGTCCAGGGGTCCGGGGGCGAGGGAGAATTGTAGAGAAGAGACCCAGTACTCCTGATTCTGCAGCTTTTCACCTTTCCCAGGCAGCCAGGCAGCGGGCACCTGGTCCTGAGAGCAGACACAGGCATCTGGAAGTGAGCCCAGTTGGCAGAGTCCCTGGAACAGCCAGCCCCTGCCTGGGGTGGAGAGTAGGACCAGGCTTGGGGAAGGAGGATTAAATAGAAAGTTAACACTGAGTATTGTTTTGTTTGCTTTTAATAGTCGTTGTGATTTACTGTTTCCCCCAAGTTTTATTTTGAAAAATGTTAAATCTACAGAAAAGGTGCAAGAATAGTACAACCACCATCCCTATGCCCTCCATCTGGATCTGCCAGTTGTTACCGTTTTGCCACATTTTATGTTTGCTGAGCCACTTGGGAGTACGTATAGACATCTACACTTTGCTTTGAACGCTGTGGTTTCACTGAGTTGAGCTTAATCACTTTTGGCCTCTGGGCTATAGACCAGGGTAATCTCAGGGTTGTTTTAGAACTTGGAAGTGACCTGGAGATTCCCAGGCCTCTGGTGAGAACCTGGATTTACAGCTCAATCCTGCCCTGCCCCTCAGCCCTTATCCCGGACAGGCGACAATAGAGCAGCTCCTCTTTTTTGTCCCCAACATTTTATTATGAACACTTTCAAACAGAAAATTTGAAAAAATTTTACGGTGATTTCCCCATAGACAGGCCAGCTAGATTGAACTCCTGGGAGGGTTTAAGCTAGAGAGCTTTAAGTATGGTTTTTGTGGCGAGATGGGTTTAGCAGGCAGGTTACATAAAATTCCTGAACTCTACCCCCATAAGCCTGATACCAGCCCCAGGAGTGGGACTGAAGGTGGACACACTCAGGGGAGCCTGCCTGGCCAATGTTGTTTCCAGCCCTCTCCCTGCCCCTGGGGCTGGATCCAGCTCCCACTGGGGAAAAGCGCTGGGGCCTGGGCCCCCAGAGGCAGGGCCTTCACTGGTCAGCGACCTTCTGAAGTGTACGGACATGGGCAGGGGGCGCTGTGCATTTGAGCCAGGCCCTCCTGGGTCCTGAGCTTCTCCCGAGCCCAGCTCTGCATTGCAGGGGTGGAGGTGCCTGAAGTCATCAAGGACATGTGCCGGCGTGCCTCCTACATCAGCCAGGAGCAGATCTGGTGAGCCCCCATCTGGGAAGGCTGGAGGCAGAGGGTGGGATTGGGGAGCTGCTCTTTCTCTCCCCAGAATGACTGGGACCAGAGCTGCCACTAGCCTGTATATTACCTGTGTACAAATGAGAGAAAGGTGCCTCTTACTCTAGGTGGATGCAGCCCTGCACCGGGATATGTGACCTAGTGGGCATACAGCTGGCTGGATTTCAGCGTTTCCTTGTTGCCTGGGCCAGATGCCCATGTAAAGGGCACAGCCGTATGTGGTGGCCTTGACCTGGACCCCTAGGACCCGACTCCTTTGCTGAGTCTCTGTGGGAATGCCTGCTGTTGCCTGGCTGAGAGATGGGACCTTTCCTTGACAGTGTGGGTCTGGAGGCAGACCAGGAGCGGCAGGGGATAGAGTGGCTAGGTATCAGGGTACTATATCCTGCCATTTCTGCCCCAGTCCTTCTCCCAGAGTGAGTGCCCGCTGTTCCCGCAGCGACCTTGAGGCCGAGCTGACACCACAGAGAGTGCCGTGCCCCATGGACACAGACCCTCCCCAGGAGATTCGCCGGAGGTTTGGCAAGAAGTAGGTCTGTTCCTCTGCTTAACCCCAGGCAGTTCATCCCATCCCTGCAGCAAAGATACATTGATTACTCAGTGCCAGGCACTGTGCTAAGCACCGGGGGTGCAGGCAGAATAGAGAGTCCATGCCCAAGGACATCACAGTCAGATGAGATAGTCCCCTACGTTTCTAATTACCATATCCCACTGATGAATGTTATAATGGCAGTAAGCGCAAGGGGCTTTGGAGCTCAGAGAAAGCACTCACCTCTGCCTGGGAGATCAGGGAAGGCTTCCTGGAGGAAGGATCCTTTGAGTCTCCAGAAAAGCCTGATGGGGGTTGGGAGCTACAGAAGGGAGAGGACTCTTCTCAGTGGGAGTGGGCACTGAGCTAGACAGAGCGTATCCCCAGGGATGAGCTGACCCACTAAGTGACTACTTGGGAAGCGTCCCTCACCAACAGCCTGCTTGCGGAGTGCGGTATAGCCCTTGAGGTCTGAACCCCGCTTGGCAAGACGCTCTTGGCGCCCCCGGCCCCGCACCCGTCTCTCTAGGGAGACCGCCTCCACTGCTGCCGCGTTCGAGGGGGGTTAAGAGCCAAGGCTCTCTGTCTCCCAGGGTAACGTCATTCCAGCCACTGCTGTTCACCGAGGCGCACCGAGAGAAGTTGCAACGCAGCCGCCGCCACCAGAATGTGCAGCAGTTTAAACGCTTCATTGAGAACTACCGGCGCCACATTGGCTGCGTGGCAGTGTTTTACGCCATCGCCGGCGGGCTTTTCCTGGAAAGGGGCTACTGTGAGTGACAGGCCGCCCGCGGCATGGCTACGATCCTTGACAGCCCCAGGCGGGGAGTGAGAAAGGACCTCCCTCTGGGGCGTGGCCTGCGATAAGTGACAGCCCTGGGGGTGGAGCCTACTTTGAGAAAGGGCACCCCGGGGCGTGGCCTGTGATAAATGACAGCCCTGGGGGTGGAGCCTACTTGAGAAATGCCGCCTCCGGGGCGTGGCTTGTGATAAGTGGCAGCCTTGGGGGTGGGGCCTACTATGAGAAAGGACACCTCCGGGGCGTGGCCTTCGATAGGTGCTGGCCACAGGGAAGGGGCTGACTCTGGGTGACAGGCTACCAAGAGTGGGACCTGCTAAAATGAAGAGCCTGCGGGGGAGGCCTGTTACGAGTGCTGGCCGGCGGTCAATGACTTGCCTAACCAGCTCTCCCCTCTGCGCTGACCGCGTCCCCTGCCTGGGTCCCTCTGCAGACTATGCCTATGCCGCACACCACACGGGCATCACGGACACCACCCGCGTGGGCATCATCCTGTCGCGGGGTACGGCGGCCAGCATCTCCTTCATGTTCTCCTACATCCTGCTCACCATGTGCCGCAACCTCATCACCTTCCTGCGGGAGACCTTCCTCAACCGCTACGTGCCCTTCGACGCCGCCGTGGACTTCCACCGCCTCATCGCCTCCACTGCCATCGTCCTCACAGGCAGGGCCTGCGTCCTGGGGATTCTCGCCATGCTTTCCCACTGCTTGCTGCCTTCGCCGCCTCTGGGCGCCCCCTTTCCATCTTCTTGCCCTTTGACGCTGGCCTTTCCTGCTCCTCCTGCAGGCCTTTTTCTCCTCTTTTGTGCTTTTCTTTCCATTTTGCTTCTCTGCCTGCTCTTTTCTTCAGTGTAAATCTCGGACGTCTTCTCAGTTAGGATGGAGCTGGCAGTCATGAAGTCAGCCCAGGAGCCCAGGAGCCCCTCACTGCCCCATGAGTGCCTCTACCCAGGCTTTCAAGGGCACTTCACCAGCCTCCAGCGGACACAGCCGGAACACCCCAGGATGACTGCACATGTGTTCTCTCTCCCAGAGTTGTTTATATTTTAAAACATGACTCTGGGAGAGAAACCATAGGAATGAACTTCTACTGGTGTAATTTCAGACTCATGTGGTTACGTTCATGTATAGTGTGCATACTGGTGGGCACGGAGAGAAGGACCAAGAGTGACTGCAGATCAGGAGTCCAGATCCCAAGGGTTCTTCCTCAAGCTCCCAATTGTGCTTGGGCGTGGTTTCCACTTTGGGCTGAATAGGTGGAGCTACCTGCCTGGGCTGTCTCAGGCTCACCCCCACCCTGCCTGCTCTTCCTTAGTCTTACACAGTGCTGGCCATGTGGTGAATGTGTACCTGTTCTCCATCAGCCCCCTCAGCGTCCTGGCCTGCCTCTTCCCTGGCCTCTTTCATGACGACGGGTGAGTGTGTGTGTATGGCAAGGGGTAATTCTCTTGGATGGTAAGAAGCAAATTCTCTTGGCCCAGAGGAGAATGTCACCCCCCAGGGTATGGGGCAGACTCCACAGGATACGTGAGACAGGCTCAATGACCAACCCAAGCTGGCAGTAGAAGGGGACACTAGTGCCTGGGTTGGGGGGCCTCCTCTGGAGGGTCCTTTCTGGAAATCCCAGGGGTCTCCTCTCAGGGTCCTTCCCTGCTGTCCCTTCTCCACAGGTCTGAGTTCCCCCAGAAATATTACTGGTGGTTCTTCCAGACTGTGCCAGGTGAGAATGTTTCCTTCCTGCTCCGTGAATTTCTGGGCCTAGCTCCAAGTGCCAGGCTCTGGATTCTGTCTGCCACGGGGGAAGCCCAGACTCCCTCATCTCTCACAGACAGCCAAGCTCTGCACCCTGGCCTTTGAGGCTGCTCCCCGCAGTTGGAGACTTTGCATTCCCAATCCTCCCCTCAGGAGCCTGGCTAGGCTCCCACCCACACTGTGCGCCAGTTTCTCCTTCTGTGAAATGAGAGTGGACTCCTCCCGCACACACCTACCATGACAGGAACGTGGAGGAATCCTGTGTCCCAGATGCCTGGGGGAGGGACTGGGCTCTTTGTCAAGCCAGACAAAGGCCCACCCTCCCCTCGTAGTTTGTCTTGACAAGGGCTGTTTAGGAGCATATTCCTAACTCCCCATAAACACCCATTTCAGAGCTCTTAGCTGTGAATCTATTCAAACTGTTCTTGAACTATTTATATTTTCAGTCTGTTCCCTCCCTGAGGTAACACATTTCCTGCATGTGCTCTTCTCTGTGAAACACAGCATGGCCTTTTTTGTGTCTTTTTTAATCCTAAAATGATCTGCTTTGAACTTGAGAAGGTTCTTGCTAATTCCCGCACTCTGGGATTCAGCGGATCAAGTTGTGTGCATGCTCTCCTCTCGGTTCAGGACTTAGGCTTTGATCAGATCCCTTCTTAACCTTTGCTTTTTCGAACTGTAGGGCTCTAATCTTCCTAATTCCTGCCTTTCTCCTCCTTGAACCCTCAGGGGAGCCATCCTCCCCCTCCTTTGCTCCCATCCCCCCAGCTCCCTGAGTTGCTTCCCGATACCCGTGTCTGAAATCCCTCCTGGACTGAGGGGATGCCAGTGACGATGAGCAGGGACAGGATGACCCCACTGTCACTGATGGTGCAGCTCAGTGGCAGTGCCAGGCTCGTGCTGCGTGCTGTGGTGGCCAAGTGGAGCAGTGCAGGGACCTGGGCCAGCTTTGCCTGCCGGACGGCAGGGCCTTCGATTTCCAGGATCTGGCCCAGGGTAGAGGCTCTATGCATTGCTTCACTCAGCACACGTGTAGGTACGGCCCATGGTGTGCTGCACCCTGCGCTAGGGTCAGGGGATTCAGCGGTGAACTAGCCTAGCCTGGCTCCTGCTCTTGTGGACCTCAGAGTCAGGAAAGTGACAGACATGGAACAAGAATGACACAGATGCTTGAAAAATGACAATTGTGACACAGGCTGTGAAGGACCAGTAGAGTCTGCTGAAATGAAAAGTGCCTGTGACCAGAGGTGTGGGGGGACGGGAACAGAGGAGGATGCTGGGGCTGTCCCACCACCACCCTGGGCAGTGGTGTGCAGGTGGGACCCTGACCCTTGGAAGCCTCAGAAAAGCCCCCTCTGGAAGGCACTGCTCCTTTGCCTTTCATCCTCAACTTCTCTCCACAGGCCTTACGGGGGTTATACTGCTCCTGGTGCTGGCCATCATGTATGTCTTCGCCTCCCACCACTTCCGCCGCCGCAGCTTCCGGGGCTTCTGGCTGACCCACCACCTCTACATCCTGCTCTACATCCTGGTGAGGACTGTTGGCTATGAGCCAGGCAAGGGGCGTCTGGGCCAGACGTTCCCAGGGAGGCAGTGAAGGCTGGGACATCAGGTCTCCATCCCCTGAGCTATTCCGAATATTCTTTCACTTCCCCACATCATTCTTAAAAGACAGAGATTAGTATGGGGCCTGCCAGTAGGCTGACCCCAATAAGTAGCACTTGGAAGAATGACTCCCCAGCATGGGGTTTGCAGTAGCAGCCCCGCCAGGCTGATCTACATTCCTCACCGACACCCCCACATCATTTCTGCCTAGCCAGTCGGTCCCCACTTTGGGTGGCTGGTTTGGGCTGCTGGGTGGACCTCCTGTACTCAAGGGAGCAGCACCTTTTCTAGAGGAACATAGCTCGAATGGATTCTGCCACTTTTGTTCCAATTCTGCTTTTTGGGGTGTTAGTTGGAGCCCTGGTGGCACAGTGGTTAAGAGCCAAATGGTCAGCAGTTCAAATCCACCAGCCACTCCTTGGAATCCCTGTGGGGCAATTCTGCTCTGTCCTGTAGGGTCGCTATGAGTCGGAATCAACTCAATGGCAACTGGTTTGGTTTTTGGTTAGTCACCCCACCCAGCTAAGTGCCACCTGTAAAGTTCATGAGCTTGTTCAAAATGTCTTCACTTAGACTGCTGATACAATGGATTTTTAAGACACCACCTGTCCCCCTTCCTTCTCCTTGACTTGGGCCCCTGCCTCCCTTCCTTCCCATTCCCAGCATGCTCCTCTGCTGTTCCCTTCATCCTCCCCTGCGGTTGGCATCAGCTGCTTCAGTTGGTCGGCTTCAGAGCTGACTGACCTGTGGCCCAGTGTCATATCTCTGCTCGCCTGCCTTCCTCAGGGACAAAGGCGGCTCCCCAAAGGCCACCTGAGGGCCTCGATGAAAAGCTAAACCAAGTCCCAAGGCCCCAGCTGTCCACACCAGTTTTCTTGGCTGGCAACTTTCAAGAAGCCCAGAGCCATAGGGCCACCCTGTTCATTACCTGCCTCCAGGCAGAACTCACTCAGGGCTCTCCCTCATCCAGAGACAAAGGGAGAGAGCCCACCATCACCTCAGTCAGGCTGGCTCCTGTTGCCAGACCTGCCTCCTCCCAGGTGCAGTTCTCACTGCTATGTAGAAGGATCTGTTTCATTCTTTCCTGTGCCTCAGCCCTTCATGGCTCTGAAGATGACTACCCTGTCCTGGTTTAGGATGTTTCCTAGAGCTGTTCATTTCAGAAGCTTCTTTGGAAGCTGTGGCTAATTTATCCCTTCCTCCACACCTTCCTGACGATGGGTGGAGCCCTAGCGTCCTGGGTCACTGTTTCTGTTGGGGGTGGAGATAATGTTCTTGTATCTGGTCATAAAGCAGCTTCTTTAAACTAGACGGGTGACCCAGAAGAGCGAACAGACTAGCCTCCTGGGGCCAAGACCCCTTTCTGATTTATCCCTAATTTGTGGGTTCAGAGCTGGCATTCAGAGCTGCCCTTCTGCCAGCAGAGAGGTTCGGATCTCAGAAAGGTGCAGCCCCCCTTCTGGGGAGTCCTAGCCCTAGAAGCTTGGGAGCAGCTCACCTGGGGGAGATTAGGACCAGAGCACCGTCTTCCCTCCCACTCATCCCAGGCACGGCCACTGGGCTGCGGGCAGAAAGTTACAAACAAAGGACTGCAGTGTAGAGAAGACCCTGGGGGAGGGTGTCCAGGCTCAAGATCCTGGCTGGAGAGGGCAGGGCTAGCATTGCAGAAGATGAGCTGGCTGCTCCCCTAACCCTTCAGCCAACCCTGAGTCTGCAGCGGCTTTGAGGTTTAAAAGTAAAGCCAACACAAAATGGGGCATATGAACAGAGGAGTATGAAGTCACCCTGCTGTTGTACTTGGCCTGGATCAATGCTCAGAAAGCCTCGGGGGAAAGCGTAGGCTCCACAGAGAAAGGAGAGCTTGGAGAAACCAGAGCTAGTTCAGAGATGAGCTCAGTCCTGTGGGGAAAGGTTCAAGAGTTTGGGAGCACTCAGCTGGAGGAAGGAAGGGCTGAATGAGGAACAGGATTCAGTTTAACAGGTATCTGTTGAGGGTCTAAGGAGCCCTGGTGGTGCAGTGGTTAAGCGCTTGGCTGTTAACCGAAAGGCTTCCGAGAGGCTGGTGGTTTGAACTCACCAGCCACTCCGTCGGAGAAAGGTGTGGCAGTCTGCTTCCACAAAGATTAACCAAGACCAAATCAAACCCGTTGCCATTGAGTCGATTCCGACTCATAATGACCTTATAGGACAGAGTAGAACTGCCCCATAGGGTTTCCAAAGCGAAGCTGGTGGATTCAAACTGCCGTTCTTTTGGTTAGCAGCCTGAGCCACTGTGCCGCCAGGGCTCCCTGTAAAGATTACAGCCTTGGAAATCCTGTGGGGCAATGCTACTCTGTCCTGTAGGGTTGCTAGGAGTGGGAATCGACTGGACGGCAATGGGATTGGTTGAGGGTCTGTTATGTACTAGCTCTGTGCTGGATGAGGAGGGGAGACTTCTAAACCTTATCTTTGAGGAACTTAAATTTGAAGCAGAGATAAGTGCCACACATGTGAAGTGATCAAAATGAACAGACAACACAGGATTAATTGCTGAGCTGAGGGCTCCAAACAGTGTTCCGGGAGCTTATCGAAAGGAGTTTCTTTGGGTTCAACTGGTTGGGGGAGGAGCTGGGATTTGGGCCAGGCCTTAAGGATAGATAAGCTGAGATTTGACTGGGTGGAGTGGAGACTGAAGAGCGTTCCAGGTGGAAGGAAGGGCCATGCAAAGAGGTGCGGAGGCAGGAATGCCGAAAGAATATTCAGGGGACAGAAGAGACGGACCTGGCTGTGAATGGCCACGGGAGATTAGGGGGTGGCAGGACATGCTAGCGGACATGTGCAGGCTGCAGCTGAAGCTGTGGCTCAGCTGAGAGGCCACACCACGTGGGTGAATGTAGAAAGAGAAGAGCAGAGAGGGTGAAGAAATCAGGCTTCAGTAACACCCATGATTGGGGGTAGGCGAAGGAATGATGCCAGCCAGGAAGTGAAAAGGGAGAGCCTGAGAGGGAAAGATGGAGAACCAGTAGAGCGCTATTGCAGAAGCCAGGGGAGAAGAGAGTGGTAAGGAAAGGGTAGTCATGGTGCCACAGGCCCTGGCAGTGAACGTGGTCAGAAAGGAGACCTTGGGACTTGACTATTTGTGGGTCTGGTGAGCATTCAGTGAGCAGGTCCTGAGGAGTGGTGGAGGCAGAAGTCAGACTGACCGGGACTCAGGAGCAAGCGAAGGGAGGGTTGGGGGCAGGTCACGTCTGGTTACTTGTTACACAAGCTTCTTTGAGAAAGGACCAGAGCTGGACAATACTTGTCAGTGACTTCATGGAAAGGGGGAGTAGTGAGTATCTTTAGTCTCCAAAAGGAAAGGATAAGTTGGAGAAACTCTTTTCATTGACTCAACCATTACTGAGTGCCTACCATGTGCCAGGGGAGCCTGGTGGCGCAGTGGTTAAGAGCAGTGGCTGCTAACGAAAAGGTCAGCAGTTCAAATCCACCAGCTGCTCCTTGGAAATGCTATGGGGCAGTTCTACTCTGTCCTACAGGGTTGCTGTGAGTTGGAATCGACTTGACAGCAATGGGATTTTTTAAGTTACCATGTGTCAGGCAGAAACCTCAGGAGCTGAGTATAGTGGCAAACAAGTGGGCGCAGTCCCTACTCCTACAGTCCAGTGGGGAAAACAAGGAGCACGTAAATGACTGAGCGAACAAAGTTACCATGGCTGACGACAGTGCTCTGAGGGGAGCTGACAGGGAGATGTGGTAGAAGACTGAGGGAAGGCCTGAGGAGGGGGCATTTCTGCTGAGCCCTGAAAAATGAGAGGGAGCCGTGGAAGAACCCAGGAAGGACATTCCAGGCAGAGAGAACCACGAGTGCAAAGGCCCTGAAGCAGAAAGCACCTGCCATGTTTGAGGAACAGTGAGGTGGGGGGAGATACTGGCAGGCAGAGGCCCGAGTGTCGCAAGGCCTTATAGTGAGTGCAGGGGGAAATCTTGTCAGGCTTTTTGAGCTGGAGATGACATGATATGATGAGCTTTTTATAAAGCCATACCGGCTGCCTGGGAGAGACAGGGTCACAGTGGGGCAAGAATCGCAGTGGTAGACCAGTTACACAGCCCTGTAGGAGTCCAGGTGACAGACTACGGGGGGGGGGGGCGGGGGGGGTCTCAGGGAGGCCACCTGACACCCGGTGGAGGTAGAAGGAAGTGCATGGCTTCTGGGTTTTTTCCAGGTAGCCTCATTCATCATGAATGTTTTGAGGGTGGAGTTGGGACTGGATAGGTTTTGGAGCACGGAAGAAGCATGATACATGGTGAGGTGGGGGCTGATGTGTTCGTGGGGTAGATGCAGGGCCTCAGGCCTGAGCTGGCCTCAGACCCTGTTGGGAATGTTGCTGGGTCTGCGTTATACTAACTGGCCATGTCTCCAGCTCATCATCCACGGCAGCTTCGCCCTGATCCAGATGCCCCGTTTCCACATCTACTTCCTGGTCCCAGCGCTCATCTATGGGGGGGACAAGCTGGTGAGCCTGAGCCGGAAGAAGGTGGAGATCAGCGTGGTGAAGGCAGAGCTGCTGCCCTCAGGTACAAGCCTGGAGGCTGTCTGGGGACCAGCTTGGTGGCACTGAAGATGCCGACAGGGCGGGGACAGAGCCTGGACCATGAAATCTCCTGGCCTGGCCCAGTGGAGGTGGCTCAAGGACTTAGGGTGGCAGAGGCAAGAGCTGGTAAGAGAAGCTCTTTGCCAGGGGACCTAAGTCTCTCTCACAACAGAGAGAAGGAGCCCAGGCCAGGCTGCCCCTTGCCCCTGTTGACCACCAGCCCCTGGGTGGGCTTGGCCCGTGGGGTATAATGGCTGCTGGTAGGGGGAGGCCTCCCATGTCGTGATCCAGAAGCAGAGCTGAGACTTCGGGTGGGGGACTCTCTGGAGGCCACATTATTGCTGGGTCAGAGCGGCAGCCTTCCGCCCACCACCCTTCCCCAGGAGTGACCCACCTGCGGTTCCAGCGGCCCCAAGGCTTTGAGTACAAGTCAGGGCAGTGGGTGCGGATTGCCTGCCTGGCTCTGGGCACCACTGAGTACCACCCCTTCACACTCACCTCTGCGCCCCATGAGGACACGCTCAGCTTGCACATTCGGGCAGCGGGGCCCTGGACCACCCGCCTCAGGGAGATCTACTCACCCCCGATGGGCGACGGCAGTGCAAGATACCCAAAGGTGCCCAGATCCAGGCCAGGCGTGCCACGTGCTCCCACCTCCCCTTAGCAGACCCTGGCCCTGAAGCACAGATTCCCCAGTGTTCCCCTTCCCCCCACCCAGACACTGGCTGTTCCCACTAATGCCCAAGGCTTCCTCCTCCCCCACTCCATAAACCTGGGTCAGGCTACCAGGGGTCTGCGGTACCATCTGCCTTTCCCTGCCTCCCACTTCTGGCTTCAGAATGATGGCGGTGGCCAAGCCTCACCCAGACCCACCCCCCTCTCTGCAGCTGTATCTCGATGGACCATTTGGAGAAGGCCACCAGGAGTGGCATAAGTTTGAGGTGTCAGTGCTGGTGGGAGGGGGCATTGGGGTCACCCCCTTTGCCTCCATCCTCAAAGACCTGGTCTTCAAGTCATCAGTCAGCTGCCAAGTGTTCTGTAAGAAGGTGAGTGCCCCTTTCTCCCACCAGCCATGGCCCCTCCTTCCTATCACTGTGCCCACCCGTCCCTCTCTCCTGCCTCTGCCTTTGGCCCCCATGATCTAGGCAAGGGCAAGATCTGAATGCCAAGACAGGTCAGGATACCCCTAAATCCTCAAGGAAGGAAAGAGGGTTCATAGATGCCTCAGGGCCCCTGCTGTTTAACAAGGCTGCCTCCCTCAGTGATGGGGTACCCCCACCTTGAATTTGCTTCTGGGAGTCCCTGTAAGCAGGGCTGGAGAGCGGTGTAGAAACCCATTTCTTCTTAACGGAGGAGACCAGCACTTGGAGCATTGTTGGTGTGGGGTTTGGGAGAGGGAAGGGCACACTCAGGGTGGGGCACTGGTGAAACTGGCTTGGCCCTCAAGAGGAGGACGAGGGGAGGTGGCAAGGCAGGGCTGGTGGGCCGGGCTGGCCCCAGGGACACAGCCCAGGCCTTCGGGCCCCCTCCACACTGATCCCTTTCACCCCAGCCTGGACCTGGTGGCAGGCCCCTGCTTGTCTCTCTGGGCCTGGCAGGTGAGTTAAGGGCACAGGAATCTGGCAGGCAGAGGCCCAACCCAAGTGCTGTCAGCACTCAGAGGTGATAGGCAGCTCTCCTCCTCTCTCTTGTCTGTGCAGCTCTGCCTCTGCTTCTCCCTCTCAGAAGCTGGAGGTGGACTCCCCTGAGGAGTGAGGCATCAAGGCAGCTTCTATCCCCCAGTCTCTCTCTGAGGCCATCCCCACCCCCTCCCTGAGGCTGCTCTGAGAAACACCCCTCAGCTGGGCCCTCTCATGTAGGCAGCCTCTAGGTGGGGACTCAGCAACCTGAGCAAGGCCCAGTGAAGGGAATGGCAGGTCAGGCTCAGTGTGAGGAACCTGCTTCCTGGGTCAGGCTCAGTGTGAGGGAGCTGCTTCCTATCAGGCTCAGTGTGAGGGAGCTGCTTCCCACGGGAGCAGACCTGCAGTTCACACTCGCCAAGGGGCCTTTCTCTGTTGCCCCAGGGTAACTCTCACACCCACCTCTCTATGCCCTGGGGTAGCTCCATCTCCTGCTTCAGAATCTGGCCCTGTGGCACCATACCCTATCTCCCCAGGCTTTTTTGACAGAAGAACAAGCTGACTGAGGTCAGAAGGGTTCTAATCCTGGGATGTCGGGAGCCTGAGCTGAGCTGGGTCCCAAGCTCGAGCATTGTGTCCCCAGATCTACTTCATCTGGGTGACAAGGACACAGCGGCAGTTCGAATGGCTGGCTGACATCATCCGGGAGGTGGAGGAGAATGACCGCCAGGACCTGGTGTCCGTGCACATCTACATCACCCAGCTGGCGGAGAAGTTCGACCTCAGGACCACCATGCTGGTACGTCAGGGCCAGCCAGGCAGGTGGGTGGGCCCCTGTCTGGGCTGGGCGCTGATCCTGGCTGTGCCTCATGTGACCTGCCCCTCTCCTTTCCCCCCAGTACATCTGTGAGCGGCACTTCCAGAAGGTGCTGAACCGGAGTCTGTTCACGGGCCTGCGCTCCATCACCCACTTTGGCCGTCCCCCCTTCGAGCCCTTCTTCAACTCCCTGCAGGAGGTCCACCCACAGGTCAGTCCTGCTGCATCTCCAGGTTCTCTTCACCTTTCTCATCTGGGGTCTAAACAAAGCCCAGGGAAGAAATAGGTGGCTGATGAGACCCCATCCCCTAGGAGATTGGTGGGGGTAATGGAATGGAAAAGGCTGGGTAGGGGTCACCCTGAGGGGTTAAGGGATGAGGCAGGGGGCAGGGACTTGCCACCTCTGAAGCCATGATGGCTTCAAAAAGAAGAGTTTAGTGATTGAGCTAGTCTGGCCATAAACTCAGAGCCACCCTTGCCCTGGACCCTGAGCTAGTAACCATAAACGGTGGACTAGCCCTAGTGAGACAATGAGCTATCCCTCGACCTGAGCATTGATTAACCTGGCCCTATCAGGAATACTGATTTAGCACTCACCAAAACTGAGCTCCCATTTATTAACGCTGAGCCAGCCCTCACCATGCAAACCCTCAAGAACACTGAGTGAACCCTCAGCATGGATTCTTGCTGGTCTTTATCAAGAAAAAGGAACTATGAACACTGAGCTAGCCCTGCCTCTGAGCACCAAGCTAGCCTCCACTTCTTCCCTCAACAGGTCCGGAAGATCGGGGTGTTTAGCTGCGGCCCCCCAGGCATGACCAAGAATGTGGAAAAGGCCTGTCAGCTCATCAACAAGCAGGACCGGACACATTTCTCCCATCATTATGAGAACTTCTAGGCCCCCTGCCCAGGCCTCCGCCCACCACCCAGCTGGGCAGAGATTTGGGCCCACACCTCACCTCCGTACTTCCTGTTTCTGGCTGCCTCAGCCTTCTCCCCTTCCCACCTCCCAAATTTGGTCTAAATGGTTGTCTAAACCATTTGGGTTCAGAGGCCCCCAGGCCAGAATTTGTCTCAGCCCGGAGAAGTTGGGGGGAGGGGGCAGGGCACTGCCTGGGGACAAGAGTTTGGGAGGTGAGAGAGCTATTATGCTTTGGGGCAAACTAAAGCCTCTTATTCCAGGCTAAGAAGAAAACAAACACACAATAACTCAAAAGGCTGGAGCTGACAGTGGTGTGTGTGTAGTGGGCTGTGAGCATGAGGATGAAGGATGGGAGCACAGATGCTGGCATCTTAGAGCCCCCTACCCCAGAACCTTCCCCTCCTTGGGGCTGCCTATTTTCAAAAGGGCTGGAAAATGCCTTGGAGGGGGCAGAGGCTGGAGCCACAGAGATGTACAGAGCCCCCTTCAGCACCCCAGACTAACAGTACAATTGATCTCCTCTCCCAGGTTTTCAACATGTACTCTAGTCAGACCCTAGCCCAGTACCCGTCTGTGCAGTTGTTTCCCCTCCCCATTCCATCTCTCATCTCCCTGCTCCGATAGTCTTCTTTACAAATAAATCACTTTTCTGCTCTCAGGGTTTCTTTATTCTGCTCTGGGGTCGGGTGGGGACCAGCAGAGGCCACTCACCCAGCCAGCTCACTAAGGCTGGTGCAGACATTCTCTCCTAGCCTGCCAAGTATCCACTGAATCAAGGACCCCTCCCCCACCTGGGGCTGCCGTTCTTAATGAAAGGCCTCTCAGGGTGGTTACTGTGAGGCTGCTGAAGCCCACTCAAGGGGGGACACATACAGAGGGGGTACAGTGGGCTGGATGCAGAGAAGAGGAACTGGGGGCAGGACACAGCCAGCACCCTCAGGGAGCCAGCATCCATCTGGCTTATTCCAGGACCTGGGTTACTCCCTGCCCTTCTCTGGGCAGTGGGAGAGCTGGGCACCTGTGCCTAACATGGGTCTTCCAGGTAGAGATGGGCCTCTGCTTTCCCATCGGCAACGTGCCTGGATGTTCTCCAAGTCTCCCAAAAGGTAGGGCAACCCTCTGTGAGGGAATTTCTGGAACAATGCCCGATTTCCAGTAATCCATTCTATTGTCCCCATAGAATTCGAACACTGGTCAGATTACATATCCTTGGTGTGGAGAAAACAGCCACAGGATTAGACTCCAAAATCCTGTGATTCACGCCACATTTGGGAGCTGCACGTTTAGTTTCTGAAAGTGGCCCTCATACTGTCTTCCCAGAACAGCCGTCTGCCTAGCGTGTTTGGCCTGTGAAGTGACCAGTATTTATTGCATCTCAGGGAGTTTCTGTTCAGTTTGCCCAGGAGGAGAGCGGGCCTTGAGTAGCCTGACAGCAGCTCCGCCTGGCGGCCCCGTGGGTAGTCCCCGGGCCTCTGAAAGTTTCAGATGTGGGCATGGACAGGGGCGCCGCCAGGGTCGCAGGCGGTTGTGGCCCCGCGCTCCGGTCATACGGTTACAGGCGCGGCCAGTAGGGGGCGCGCACGCCCGGCCCCGCCAGGCCCGACTTCGCGTCTGGAGCCGCAGCCCGGGAGGTCTCCCTAAGACGAAGCCCTCAGTTCAGGGTCCGGAGTGGGCGCAGGTGCCCCCAACTAATTCTCGAATGGAGCCGGGCCCAGGACAACCACCCCACCCCGCCCGGCCCGATTTCCCGCCTCCGCGGCGCGCGCCTTCCCTCGTTGCAGGGCGGCTCGCGCCCTCCCGCCTGGCGCGCTGCCTCTTTGTTTCTCCGCCGTCTCCCCTCCTCCCAGACAAATGGCTGTTGGCAGGAAATGGGATGCGCTCCTGGGGAGCCGCGCTCTTCGGAGCGGCGGGGAGGGGGCGCCGCGCGGCCGTTCGGCTCCGGGTGCCCCCAGCCGGGGCGGGGACGGCGGGGGATGTTTTGACATCTCGTCAAATAAAGGAACTTGATGCTTCGAAAGTGCTTTTCACAGCCGCCCAGTGTCTGCTCCCGAGCTGATTTATAAACAGAAATCTGCTTGCTTCCCTGCTCCCTCCCCCGTGGGCTGGGGGGCGGTGCCAGAGGCGCGGACGCGGCGGTGCCTGGCAGGGCTGCATTTATTGCCTCTGGCCCAGAGCCGGGGCGGCTCAGGGACTGCACAAGTTTCCTCGGGCCCGAGCCCTTCCCGCCTCTCCCCACCTCCCAGTGCCGTCTCCCGCCCAAGGGGCTGCCTTCCCCAACCCCGCCTCAGCCTCTGGGCGGAACCCTCCGGTGGTTTGCGGCTGGAGGCGGATAGGTGGTCAGGGAGTCCCTGTGCTCGCGTCCAACTCCACCCTCACTGACCCAGGGAGGAAGGGGTGGTGAGGATGGTCTCCGCCTCTGCCCTAGGGGCCGAAGGGGGCTGCAGCCAATCTCGAACTCCTCCAGAGACCTGCGGCTCTTGAGCCCTTTTCCTCCTGAAAGTGTCCTTTCTCCTCAGAATTTTCTCTACCCCCAGTTACAGCCACCTAACTCCTCAAGCCCGGGTAGCCCTTCCCCTTTGGAATAAATTAAGGAATCTCCAACTTCTACTGGATCCCAGGAGAGAAAGGGGAAAGTCTGCCAGGTCGCCACAACCCTCAGAGCGGGGACGGGCCTGTACAGGGCTGGGCCCAGGTCTGTCACGGTGCCGGGCCACACATCTACAAAGTCCGGATGGCCACAGGGTAGAGCAGGGACATGTGCTCAGCCCCCTTAATGGGCAGCTTGCGGCTGGCGTAGTGGTGCACGATTTCAGGGACGCTGCTGAAGGGCGGGCTGTTCTGGCCCAGCACATACTTGTGTTCCTTGGTCCGGGAGAGCTTCATGTGCATGAAGCCCTGACTGCTCCTGGGAAGAGGAGAGGAGACCCAGGTGAGTACGGGCTCTCCGCAGCCCTCCAACTAGCCATCCAATGGCTCCCCCATTCCACCCCCTCACCCCCACTGCAGCAAATGTGGTTCCAAACCCCGCTAAGCATGGGAGGTGACAGGGAGGCAGGGAGGGGGTGGAGGGGATTTTGTGAACAGGTAACAGCGGGCATTGGCTGTGGACAGGGCACTGGATATGCCAGCAATGTGTGTGTGGTGAGTGTATAGGGTGTGTGCAGGTGGAACCCGGAGCGGCCAGCACACCCACGCCCCTGAGACGTAGGCACCCCTGCCCTCCAGCTGGCTTACCCTCACCCTCTCTGAGCTATGGGGAAGATGCCTGTGGGGGGCTCCTGTGACTCACGTGGAGCCACAGACACCCTTGGCAAGAGGGTGGCTGGACAGATACGACAACTAAGCTAGTCTGGGGAGCAGTTGGGGGTCTACCTTGTGGAGGGGGGAAGGGGGTGAGCTGCTCTGGAAGCCCCCCGTCCCAAAATCTGGGCCTGCCCAGCTGCCTCCTCCTGGGGACAGCCCTTCACCCTCTTGCTATCTAGGCCTTGGGCCAAGCCCCTTCTCATCTATCCCACACTTCAGCCTGGGATGACATCATTGGTTCTCAGGCTGCAGCTCGATTCTCTCCCTCAGAGGACTTGCTCCACTGCCTCCCTCATCTGCCCACCACAATCCAAGACATCAGCGGCTGTGCCTGGCCCTGCCACACACAAGACCCTGCTGCTCAGACTCAGTGTGGGAGGCAGGACCAGCTCCTAGTCCAGGCACCATCAGCCTTAGAGAGAGGGCTTCAGGGTGGGCTACCAGGAAGGACAATGTATGTCCCAATCACCTCAGCTCAGTCTGCCAGGCCGCAGGCTGAATCTCATCCCTAGCCAAGGGGGAAGCAGGCTCGGTTGGAGGCCTGAAGCCTGAGAACTTGTCTGCTGCTGGCCAGAGCCCCCCTGGGACAAGTACAGGGCTCAGAGGCTGGTGTGGGAGGTAGGGCCTGCGAGGGGGCTGCCTCTATCCTGAGGCCCCCCCTTCAGAGGTGAGGGTGGCAAACCTCCTGCCTGGGTGCAAGGCAGCCCTGCCTGGACCCATTTGACTAGGCCCACAAGTGAGAAAGGGGGGAGGGTAGGGAGACTGAGGAGAGGAAGGGGATAGAGGAAAGGGCAGTCAGGCTCCAAACTCCATCCCTCTCCCCACAGGATGCAGTGCCCTGAAGCCTTGGTTATGTGCCCAGCAGTCTGGGGGCTCACCCTGACTTTCCTGCTCTGGGCACCAGGGGGCCCTGGGGTTGGGTGTATGTGCTGGGGCGTGGGGCCATCCATCCATCTGCAGGTCTGAGATAATGGCTGTGGCTGACGGTGACCACACAGGCCCTGGGGGAAAAGGCGCCAAGAGCCTGAGGGAAATGTGTAGTCAGAGAGGCCTGTGGGTGTAGTCAGAGAGGCCTGTGGGGGTTGGAGAGGGGAGGTAGTGAATAGTCACCCTTCCCTGTCTGCCCTATGCCAAGGCCCAGGCCCAGGGCTGTGAGCAGCAATGTGGGTCCTCTCCAGTTTGAGGAGGAAGTCCTTCCCACAGTCCAGCTGGGGGACCTACCTCTCCTGACAGCCGCACATTGTATCTTCTTGGCAAAGAGGGCAACAAGTGGCCAGTGGCCAGAGGTGGAAGCTGAGAGCCCAGCCTCTATATATATAACAGACCCCTGGGAGGGGGCTATCAGTGCTATCTGACCTCCTGGGACAAAGTCCCAAGAGTCCATTAGGACACAGCAGAGCCCTCCCCTGACCCTCAGGGGGCCAGAGTGGGACCAGCTGGACCCAGGGCCACTGGCATGGTTTTTTGAGGAAGCTGTTTAATTACCAGTGAAAGCCCTTCCATTACAGAGAGAAGAGAAACCATAAGTGTATTTCAGAGAAGCTATTTATATGCAAACGAGACTCTGGCAGACAGATGCTTGCTGATCAGCTGGGGCTGGAGGCTGTGTCCAGGCCTGCTGAGCCTCTCTCAGGCCTGCCTCCCCTTCTTACCCCTAGGCTAAAGCAGGGCCACCCACAGGCTCTGCCCCCAACCCTGGAGCCAGACCCCAGGCATCCTCCCTTGCCTTGGATGGTACCAGACTATACCACACTAGATGAGGGGTGGAGCTGGGCCACGGAACAGCACAGCGTGGTTCTCGGAGTCAGCACAGCGTGGTTCTTGGAGTCAGACTGAACTGAGTTCAAATCTTGACTTTGGCACTTTACTAGTTGGTGGCCTCGATCAAGACATGTACCTCTTTGAATCTATTTTCGGTCTATAAAAAATGGATCTATCTTGTAGGGTTGATGTGATTGACTGATCATATCAGATCACATTATGGAGGATGACTACATCATTACATAACTGCCAAACTACCACCACTCATCTGTCAGTTTGTTGTACTGTGTTGGCTTGTGTGTTGCTATGATGCTGGAAGCTATGCTGCTGATATTTTAAAAAGCATTGTGGTCACTCATGGTGGACAGGTGTCAGCAGAGCTTCCAGACTAGGACAGACCAGGAAGAAAGACCAGGCAATCTCCTTCTAAAAAAATTGACCAGTGAAAACCTTGTGAATAGCAGCGGAACAAATGGGCTCAAACATAGCAATGATTGTGAGGATGGCACAGGACCGGGCAGCATTTCGTTCTGTTGTACAGAGAGTCGCTATGAGTTGGAACCAACTTGATGGCGCCTAACAAGAATAACATCAACAATCTTGTAGGGTGATTGTGAGTTTGGAGATGGTATATATGCTGTGTGTACATAGTCGATGAATCTTAACTAGAATTTTTTTTTTCACTTTTAAGATTTTATTTTTTATTGTACTTTAGATGAAGTTTTACAGAACAAATAGTTTGTCATTAAACAGTACACATATTCTTTTATGACAATGGTTAAACTATAATTTTTTAAGCAATCTACATTCCTGAAGTTAGGTAAACCAAATTTTTGACAAATAAATTTTTCTTAAATGCTCCTTTGATTTAATAATTCACAGACTCCTAGAACATAAGTGCTGGAAGAAATTTCAGAGGTTTCCATGAACTCATTTTACAGATGAAGAAACCAAGGCCCAGAGCTGTTGTTGTGTGCTGTAGAGTTGATTCCAATTCATAGCAACTCTGTAGGACAGTAGAACTGCTCCATGGGGTTTCCTAGGCTGTAATCTTTATGGGAGCAGATTGCCAGGTCTTTTCTCCCATGGAGCAACTGGTGGGTTCGAACTGCTACCTTTCTAGCTTAACCACTGGGCCACCAGGGCTCTTTAAGGCCCGGAGAGGTTAAGTAATTTGCCTAGGGTCACATAGCTAGTTTTATCAAACCTCAGACTAGAACTCGAGTTTCTTGATTATAGTCTGGCACTTTTCCCATTATCTTTTATGAAGTTGAGTAATTATTGCCCAAATGTACCTGTTTAGCAGTCTCAAATTTCCATAGATGGGATGTTTGAAGTGGGGGGTATACCTATACTCTAATGCCCCCAGGGAATGTGGTGGGAAGTGGTGTAGAAGCCCCAGTAGTGATGGGGGTGGGTGAATATTCACACCCCACCCCACCCCCCAACTGGCCACCTCACATACTGCAGGCTCTCCCAGGCAGAACTCCTGGGTGCCAAGGGGAGGGCTGGCCATCCTGCCAGGGGAGCCTGGAAGACTGTTGCTGGCCTGTATATATTTGCTCCCAGGGAAGAAGGCTGATGGGAAGGCCCCTGCTCCCCCACCTCTTCAAGGAGGCTTTAAAGCTCAGTTGTCAGCCACTAGCACCCAGACCCTCTGACCACTTGTTCACAGTGAACAGGAAAAGCCTTTGTCCACTGCCCTGCCCTCCTTCCAGGACCCAACTCCCATCTCACCCTGTAGACTCCCGCAGGCAAAGCTGCTTGCTCATCGTCTGTGGTTCTAGAACATCTTGGACTTCCATTAATAACGATGATGAGTATAACTTATTGAGCACTTAGCACCACACTAAGTGCCTCCCATACATTATTTCATTTACTCGTTCCCTATAAGATAGACATTATTATGCCCCCATTTCATAAGTAAGGAAACCAAGGCCTAGAGACAGTAAGGGACCCCAAGGCCACAACCCTTCCAAAGCTGTAGCTCAACTGTTCCCCACAGTGGACTCTGAGTTCCTTGAGAATAGGGCTGAGTCTTAGGCCTCTTGGGATCCCCAGTGCCTAGCAGAGTCGCAAGTGTCCGCGTGAACCTTCAGGGCTCACAGGGGATAGGGCTCACCCAGCTTGGCTAGGCATGGGGAGAATAATGGAGTACCTGCCCGTCCTGCTGGTTGTCCCCCACCCGCAGCCATCCACACTCACTTGAGGGAGAGGGAGAAGTCATTCTTGCTGGTTTCACTGTTGCGCACCAGGTAGCTGGCCTCTTTGCACAGACGGAGCAGGTTCTCGGCGTCTGTGCGGCTGATGGCCCCGTGGTACCATCTGAGGATAAGAGAGAAGGTGGTGGGGGAGTCTCTGCTGGGTTCCTTGCCATCCAGGCCCGCCCCTTCTGGGTGCCCCCTGCAGGCAGGCCAGTGTCAGGAGAGGAAAGGGAGGTGAGGGAGTCCCCAGCCGGACACAGACACTCACACCTGGTTCTCCAGAGGCAGTGCTGGGTCTGTCCACTCCCCCAGGGGGCTGCTGGGCTCCATGCTTAGGGACTTGGCTGACTTAGGGTTCCCTGCAGAGAGTCGGGGAGGTAGCCGCCCCTTCTCCTCCCGTCCCGGTGACAGGCAGCTCTTCTCTGATCCTTCAAACTGGGCTGTGGGGAACATAGCAGTCATGCGCTCTGTGAACCCCACAGGTAGAGCCCTGTTGAATGGCCAGTGCCTCATCCCTATTTCCTGCCAGCATCAAAAGGAACATTCAGAAGGGCAGGGCATGCTTATGGGCCTGACTAGCTCTTGGAACATAATCCTGGTTCCATCCCAGGTGGGGATGGGGGAGCTGAGCCCTCCTGTGCCACACACGGCCTCCCAGGAGGAGGAAGGAGAGGGGAGAGGAGCAACATGAGAAACCACTTAAGCTTCTCCCTCTGCAGCAGCCAACTGCCTCCTCCTATTCCTTCCCCTCAGGGTGGCTTCGGCGCTGATAGTATTGTTTCTTTCTCCTCCTCAGAGTTCATTACCGTTCTCCAAATCACCCTGCCAAGCCATTCTGTAGAAATGGCTTATTGATCTGAGAACAATTATCCCACTTCCCTTGGTGCCATCCTGACAGGCTAATCCTGCCCAAAGACGACAGTGGGCCTGGCTCCTCCCCTCAAGGCCACTGCCCAAGGCTCCCCTCCCCGACCTGCGAAAGCCCAGCAGAGGCCGGCTCTGCCCTCCCTGACCAGGGCAGGCCTGACAGCTGAGTCTGCGCAGGGTGAGGGCTGAACTCCAGCGGCCATACAGGCACACACTCAGGTGGGGGTGGATGACCCAGTAGGTCACGTAAGCATGGGCTGACGTGTGCTTACTTACTAATCTGTAGTGAACAATTTTACATGGTTTAATCTGTGGTGAAACCCATGTGAAATTGTTCACTACAGATTAGTAAGTAAGCACAAGTCAGCCCGTGCTTACCTTGCTTACTGGGTCAGCCATCCCTGTCAGGGATTGTAACTTGCAAAGAGGCTTTGATTCTGTAGGAAGGTGCTGTGGGGTTGGGAGAGAGACAGATGCCAGCCGTACCTAGAAGCAGAAGCTTTGATGAGGTGAAAAAATGGGACATTGTTCACTACAAATGAGCCAGTAAGCAAGGTAAGCATCATGTTTACTTTGCCTATTGGATAATCAGCCCCTGCTCACAGGGGACAGAGGTCCTTTTTTTCTTTTTTTCCCCCAAAATATCTGCTCACACTCTGGCACAAACTACAAACAGGTGTGTGCACCTCTGCGTACACGCACAGACGCACAAGCACATTCTGGGCAACTGAAAGCAGAGGAAGACTTCAGTGCCTTCTTCCTCCCCATCTGGGCTCCCCTCCCCTTCTTGTGGCACTTTCAAGGCCAGAGGATCAGGGCGTCTCCTGTACCCTGAGGAGTTAGGCACTTCCTGTGCTAGCGCCACCCTCCCTTGGCAGGGTCTGCACTGCTGAAGGATCTGGTCTGGCAAAGCTCTACCCAAAGAAATGAATTTAAAGTAGAGGATTTCTGTGGCACCGTGGGAAAAATACTAGGAAGGACCCTCCCTTAGAAGAAGACACTTTCCCGCAGCACTGGGGGAGACAGGAATGTGCGCTTTGTCTCCTCCCTCTTCCTCAGGACAAGAGGGACTCTTCCTGGGTTCTCCAAACCCTGCCCCACCTCCAACCCAAGCCCACAGGGCCTGAAGGGTGAGAGGACATGTCACCCTGGCTGGAAGCCCCCACAGGACCCACCGCTGCTGTCCTCCAGGCCGGGCTCAGGGAGGGGTGAGGCTGGACCGGAGATGTCCCTGTCCCCGTCGGGCAGGGAGGGGCTGCTGTCCAGCTGTCCCACGGGCGGAGGCCAAGGTAGGTCTTTGATGACCTTAATGTCAACTGGAGCCAGTAAGAGAGAGAAAGAAGAGAGACAGACAGTGACAGAGACACACAGAGACAGAGGTTGAGACACCAAAATGCAGAGTCAGGACACAGGATAGCCTAGAAAGGAGGTGGGGCCAAGGCAGAGGCAGGGTGGCTTCAGAGGAGGAAGAGGACGCTCACAGCCTGGCCTGGAAAATGGCGGGAGGTTCAGGCAGCGAGCAGTCGACAGATGTAGGAAGGGTCTTGCTCCACCGGCCTTGTGCCCCATTTCATTTGACCTTTCACCACCTCTAGGGCCCAATGGGGCGAGGAGGAAAAGAAGGGAAACAAGCTTCCCCACCTCCTAGCACCACCCCCAGGTTCCCACAGCCTCCTGGCAGCTCCAGCCTTGCCTTCCTTTTTCCTTCTTCCTGCACCCTGGGCACTCGTGGGCAGTGAGAATGGGAGAACCCAGCCTCAGGGTGTCAGGAATTCTCGGGACTGGGGGCAGATGTTTCACTGAAATGCAACAATGCCCACCTTCCTCCCATCCTGAGCCTCGACAACAAGAAGAGTGACGCCACTGTGACGCCGCAGGACTGCTAACGAGGTTCCTAACGACGAGCACAGATTTTCCCATTAAGCAATCCAAACAGTATCGATCCTCCAAGGAGACTTCTGGAGATAAACGGCTCGTCCTCAACCGTGCGCGCTTCACAGGAAGCAAGTTAGAAAGCTGTGGTTTCCCGGTCTGGCTGCCAGGGTGGGGAGGGCTGGGTCCAGCTCCAGGATGACCCTCTTTTGCCCAAGGAGGGTGAGGTGGATGTGGGTGCAGGAATGCGGACTAATGGCATTTAACCCCTTTATGCCCTCAATGAGTCGAGGGTCCAGGAGCTGAAACTCTCTCTGTGTCCAGGCTCTTACTACCCCCCACCTGAGGCCACCAACTTGCACCTTTCTATGGCAGACTCCAGGCCAGGGGTGGACACTGGTGTGGTTGGGGCAGGGGATCTGATCCTCTTTCAGCAACCAGGGGATTTCTAAGCCTTCCCTCCCCCTACCGGTTCCTGCTCCTCAAACATCCCCCAGGGACCAGGAACCCGGCTCTGGTCCAGGCAGGCCCTACCACTGGGAGACAAAGCCCTCAAATTCAGGGCTGTTATCGATCAAGGTTACACACACAGTTGTTAAATGTAGGTACTTAACATATACCATAATTTTTATAATTTTGTTCTGGAATTTATTTTTAAATATACCCAGCCCCTCAAAAGACAGAAATGATCCAGGCTTCTTGGCCCCCAAGGGGTTGTGATGCGAGGAAAAGCCTTCATCCTTCTCCCGCACCCATTCCCTGACCCAGCACACAGTGCTGTGTCCACACTGCCGAACTCTCCACCCTCGGTGGCACAGAACTCAACCACACTTCCCCGGAGCCCAGCTCCTGGGCCTCCCCTGGTCCCTGGGCTCCACTCCTTGCATTTCCCCGAGCCTGGCTCATGGCCCTGGAAAGCTCTCAGAGGCCCAGCAGACCTGCCCTCTCCACCCAGGGACTCACCCGCGAAGGCTTTGGAAATCCGCTCCTTCTTCCACTCCCAGGGCTGGTCATACTCCTCAGGGGGCCTCTCATCATCCTCAGGCAGGCGGGACTCCCAGGACCAGGGGGGCCCCTCACCCTCTGGGGTTGCCCCCTCCTCTTCTGGCTCATAGGGTGTGTCGTACAGAGGCAGGGGCTGAGCTGATGTCTCCTTGGAGCCCCGGATCTCTGACAGGGCAAGGCAGGAGGGAGAGGAGTGAGCTCAGCCTTGGCTGCCTGGTCCTACTCCTCTGGCAGCTCTCCCCAGCAGTGAGCCAAGTCTCACTCAGAGGAGATGCCGCTGGCTCTGGGGGAGCCCAGCAGCCACACATCCTGGGTCCCTCACCCCAAAACACCTCTGGGGCTCCCAAAGGATGCGACTCAAGGGATTCAGGGACAGACAGGGACCAGAAAGACAAAAAAGGGGTGGGGGGGATTCTGTAATGCCCAGCATGGGCTGGGGTTGCTCAGTTTACACATGTAAGAAACTGAGGCAGGGTCCTGTCCTAGTCAATCTCTTCCTTGCAGCCCAGCTCCATTTATCTTCTTGTGTCCCAAATGACATCATTCCACAATCAGATTGCTGCTCAGACACTGCTGACCACCATCCCCCTGGAACTGACAAGTCATTTTCATGGACTGTCCTCCTCTCTGATCACCCCCATCTGACCTCTTTCCCTGGATCCTCTCTTGGCCTCTGTTCCCCAAGGCCAGGTCTTATTCATTTCTTCCTACCCTCGCTTCTTGAACCACTTGCTCAGTCTCATGGCACCCATTACATCTATCTTTCAAGTCATATGTTTCCCATTCCCATAAAGATATTTCCCTTTGATATCACATTGTTTCAAACCTTCCCCAAAGCTAGTGATTCTTTTTTGGGGATTGGCGACCCCAGTGAAAATCTGATAAAAGCTATGGACCTACTCCCCAGAAAAATGTGCACTCAAAATCTCACATACCATTCCAGCACATTCATGGACTTCCTAGGGATCCACACCCTGTGACCTAAGTAAGGGTGTGGATTCTACATCTGGATTTCTCCACTCTGCCAACCATAGTGTTTTCCTTGGACCTGGACTTCTTTCATTCTTCAACTCCCATCTGTTTGTTGCCAATACCTGATGACTGTCACCCTCAACTCTACATATCTAGATTACTGCTGGGGGGACCTCCATTCCACTGGCTTATGTTGCCATGGGATAATTAGAATAACACTCCTAACAGCTCTCCCTGCCCCCCACCCACCTCTTCCAAGGAGGAAGAGCAGCTTATCTGATGGGCAAGTGGGTGCCTACTCTCTCTCTCTCAGATCCACCTTCTCACAGAGAGAAAATGTTCTGGTTCTTTCTCCTCCATGGCCTGCCCCCATGCAGAGGCCTATAGCTATCCTACACTGCCCAAACCTGAGTGGGCAATTTTAATTCCGTGGCAAAGGATTAAGAAGCCCATTGTGGTTATATAGCTAAGTAATGTTCTCCAATCAACTTTATCAATAACGTTTTTATCTCCATCTGTCTGTTTCCTTAATCTTACTTCTTCATTATTTCCAGGCTTAGGAAAGGGAAAAAAGGAGTGTTAATTATTGACCTCTTTTAAAATCCGAACAATTTCTACAATAGCCTCCTTACTCATCTTTCTGATGCCCATTTTTTCCCATCCATTCCTCACACCAAAACCACAGTAATCCTCCTAAAATGTCATATTTGTCCTATTCCTCTCTTGCCCAAGAATCCATAACGGTTCCTCTCTCCCTTTTGGATTAGGTCCAAACATCTCATTCCAGTCTTCGAGGCCCTTCAACTGCACCACATGGCTCTCTCATCTTAGCTCCCATGTACACAATTAACACTATTTGCCCATGAACAATTCTCCCTCTCATCATGCCTTGGGGCCTTGGCTTAGACTGACCACCCCTGTCCTCCCCTCTGATCACTCCCATTTGACCTCTTTCCCTGGATCTTCCCTTGGCCTCTGTTTCCCAAGGCCAGGCCTTACTCATTTCTCCCGACCCTCACTCCCTGAACTATTTGCCCAGTCTTACGGCACCCATTGCATCTATATTTCCAATCATATGTTTTCAGTTTCTATAAAGATGTCCCACTTTGACATCACATTGTTTCGAACTCACCACCTTCCCCAAAGCTAATGATTCTCTTTTGGGATCACTGAACCCCAGCCCATACTGCTATCTTGCCCTTCTCGACCAAATGCTTCTATCTGACCCTTAGCAGGGTGACCTTCTCTACTGTCTCAGATCTCAGGTGCCACAAGTCACATCTCCTTCTTCAAAAAAGACTGAGTGTCTTGAAGGCAGTGGCCACCATCCCCGTCGACACAACACAAACTTTCTCCACATGTGCAAGAAGCTAGGGATCAAAAGATCAGCCTTTAGACTTGTGGGTCCCAGAGCTTGTTCTGCAGATCCCAAGCCTCAGGAAGTACTTCCCCTGACTCCTTCACTCACCAGCCATCATCTTTTGGGCTTCATAGGGTTCCATGTAGCCATCATTTTCAGGGATCTTCTCTGGGGCTCCTGAAGCTCCTGCTGGGCCTTCGCCAGTCTCTTGAACGTCAAACGGGTCCGCATAGTCTTCTAGGATTGCCAACTGTGGGAAGAGAACAAAGAGAGGGGGGCTTCAGACATCTGAGAGGTCACTCTGCTTTTCCCTAGATGCTCTGTCCACATGAGCAGGAGTCATGGGCAGGGTGCCCTACACCTGGAGTGCCGGATACCCAGGGGCAGGCTCTGAGCTTGGATGGGAACAAGCTCTGGCTCTTCTTTCGCAGGATCCCCCACCAGGCTGCCAACCAAATGCTACATCTTTCTTTTCTGTTAATTTTATGCCTCTGGGCTATCCCCTAGGCTAAATGGCCAGGATGAAGCTACTGGGATTTAGGGCCTGCCTTTATCAGGGTCCAGCTGGACAAAAGCCTACACCAGGTGGTTGAATAGAGGGAATTAATTCAGAGAACTGGTTACAAAGATGTTGGAAGAGTTCACTGAGCAAGCAGAGAATGATGAGGCAACCCAAAGATTAGACTGCTCCATGCCTACCAACGTGCTCCCAGATGCTGATCAAATAAATATTTGCTGACCATCGAAGGACACTCTCTGTGTCAGTTCTGCCAATTTACCCTCACAATGTCTCTGTCAAATGGGTATTAGTATCCCCACTTCAAGGAAATGGAGGCTTAGGGTGATTACAGAACAACATGCCCAAGACATAAGTGGAGGAATCAGGATTGGAACCCCTGCCCTTTGTGTAACATTATACTGCCACCAGTGGGCACCTTGGCTGTCTTGAGAGAGAGGATACTCTGAGATAGCCCTGAGGAAAGCCAGGACTTGGGCTCCTGGAAGACAGGGACAGAAAAGGCCTCATCTCAGTCCTCCACTTCCCATACTGCTCCTTTCCCACACAAGTGGCTCATGGCCACCTCTCCATCCCTGCTTCCAGTCAAAGCACAGCAAACCACAAGCGGCACACCCTGGAGACGAGCTCAAGGTGCTCAGGGTGTGGTGCAGCCGGGGATAATAGAGTCTTTCTCCAGGCTGGGCCCCCACTCTTCCTGGGGGCCTGGTGAGGTGGAGACAGAGCCCAGCCCACCGTGGGCTGCCGGCATCCTGGGAGCTCTGTGCCACCGGGTGGACAGGCGATGACAGGAGGTGGTTTCGGGGCCTGCGGCACAAGGAGGGGGCCACTCTTGCCTTTTTCCAAATTTCAGCCCAGGCTTTGTTTCTAGGCAGGATCAGAGCTGTGGAGCCAGCTGGGATGGAGGCTGTGGGAGTAACCGCCTTGCCCTTGATTAGAGGGTCTGGGAACCAGGGACGCACCCCCGCCCCCCGCCCCGGCATGGCAGAGATGGAAAAAAGGCATCTCCCCACTTCAGGAACCCCTTCTTCGTATTCTTTGGACCCTCAATTGCCCCTCTAGGGGTCTCTGTGGCACGTCCCAGTGGCGCCCACCATCTATTCCTTCAGTCAGTCTCTCAGCTCCCATTGTGTCCCAGTCAGGCCCCTCAGCTCCTTTCCCTCCCTGGCATCTCTGCCTGCTTCTGAGATGGCCGCTCCCCACCCTCTCCGCTGCCGCCACCACCAGAATATCCAGAACATCCACTGGCCTGGAGGCTCTTTGTCATTTTTGTCTCTGCACTCCCACAGGCACCTGGCTCACTTGTGGCACTCAAAAAATGTTTCAGCTAGATCATTCAGGAGCCCTGGTGGTGCCAATGGTTAAGTGCTCGGCTGCTTACCGAAAGGTTGATGGTTTGAACCCACCTAGCCATTCCACGGGAAAAAGACCTGGCAATCTGCTTCTGTAAAGATTACAGCCAAGAAGACCCTACGGGGCAGTTCTACTCTGTAACACATGGGGTCACCCTGAGTCGGAATCGACTTGACAGCACCCAACAACTAGATCATCCACTTATCCCCCCTTAGAGCCCTCCCTAGTCCTCCTTCTTCCAGGAAGTACAGAAAAGAAATCCACTCACCCCACCCCAAGCTGCTTCCTCCCAGGCCACCTGGCACCCACAGCCTGACCCACTTGACCAAGGGGGCTATGGAGCCAGCCTGTTGTTAATTTTGGCCGCCCAGCCTTGTACTCACACCAGGCGGCTACTCGGTCAGCAGTAACTGAATTAACTGGCATGTTATCCTTAAGCCTTGCAATGGCTCTCTAGTGCCTGGAAGAAAAGGGCCGAAGTTAAAAGGATTTAAAGGATCCCACATTCCTCTTTGGTTTCCCTCCACCACCTTGGATCACTTTGCTTCCTTCCTGAAAGCTTTACACTCTCTTTCTTACCTCACAGGCTTTCCTCTGCCGGGATCACTCTCCCCTTCCTCCCGGATTCTAATTATACTCTTTATTCAGAAAGCCTTTTCTGACTCCACTCCAGGCCTTGTTAGGTGTCTCTGTGCTGGGCTGTTATTAGTGTGGTGAATACCTGTTTTACTGTCTGTCTTCCTGCCAACTGTGAACATCCTGAGGGCAGGACCCATGTTTACTGCTAAATTCTCAGTGCCTGAAAGCCCTCAGTAAATATTTGTTAAATCAGTTCACATAAAACAGGAAGAATGGACAAAGGAAGCCCTTTCCGCTGCTCCTTCAAATGAGGGAGGAAGCATGAATCCTGGGTGGGATGGAAGACCACATAGGAGGATCAGCTTTCCAAGTGAATCTCTGTCCCCAGGAGCTGCTGGGTGAGTACAGCCGCTGGAGCCGAGGACAGCCCCACCCCCACTCCACAGAGTCCCTCTCAACAAACTTGGTCACAACTGCAAACAGCGCCCTTCCCATGGGAATCCTGGGCCTGTCCCCAGGGCCGCGACCCCTCCTAGGTCAGGATGGGCCTTCTCAGCCCCAACCTGCGCTGCCCACCAATGCTCAGGTGGCAGCTCTGTGGGCGACTCAATGGCTCCTCTGTTCCACTCCCCACCCTCTGGGCTGGGGCGACTGGAGGTGCTGCCCACGGGCTGGGTGTGGGGAGCAGTGGTAGAGACATCGGCTGGGAAGGCTGGCAGGGTGGGTGCTCGCCTTGGCTTTCAGGCCATTTGAGGAAGTAAAACTGCCCAGCAGGGGTAAGCTGTCCCTATTTGCGTCCGACACCTCTGACTTACCATGATTTGCTATTTTGCTTGTGGTCTCTCTGTCCCTCTCAATGTGTTCAGTGCCGTATCCCACGTCCACCACAGGGCCTGGCACACAGTAGGTGCTCAATGCACATTTACTGGATGCATGAAAGGCCTTCTTCTCCCCAAATGCCACCTCTGTCTGGAGTGCCATGACTCTCAGAACCTGGTTCACTCTGACAGACCTCGGAGTGGCCGAGGGCTGAAGGAGCTGGCTCTCAGGTAATTTACATTTGAATAGTGATCAAAGCCTCTTACTCAAGGGCAGAAAGGAGGAACTGGCAGCAAAGGAACTTCTGGGAAGGCACCTAAAACCAGGGCTGATATTAGGTATACCCTCTGGTGGAGCCAGAATGCTGTTGACATGCTGAAATATTTCCAAACTACTAAGTAGCTGCTGCCCAGAGTGCCCGTCCCCTGTGCCTCCTGCCAGCCAGATACCCCTCCCTCCTGTGGGCCAGCAGGGGCCTCCAGAAGGCTGCTCTGGCATATGTTCCAATTGGTCAGTGCCCCTCCCAGAGCAGCTGCCATAGTCTGAATATCCTTCCTGCCCAAGCCTCACCTCAGGTAGCCGACGGGGCCCCACCATCTGGTTCATGGCCTTCCACTCTGCAGCTGGGCCGTGAAATGCGGGGGGCGGGGAGCTGACCCACAGACCGGGCCCCAAGGAGGCGCACATGACAGGATGCAGGACGGACGTTGGTTCTGTAGGTCCTCACCCCTTTCCTCCCCTTCTTTAGTTTACACTTAACGTCTCTAAGCCTCTGTGTCGTCATCTGATAAGGCTGTGAAGCGTTCCTATGCCCGCAAAGGTTCTTAGGCCAAAGGCTGGCCCAAGTGGCATTAACTCTGTGATAATCTGCGTATTCAGGCACGAAGGCCTCAGAGTTTAGGTGCTTGCCCAGGGCACACAGCTCGTCAGCTGCAGACATCAGACTGGCCAATCAGGTCTCCTGACTCGCAGTGCCTTGACCCAGATCTTCCTAAAATTTGGGAAATGCAGCATCTTCTCTCCTCTACTGGTAAATCCAAAATACACTTTAGCATGTTAAAGGCTCTGAGAAGTCCTGCAGCAAAGAAACCAGCCCAATCTTGTTTAAGTCAGCATCTCTCCAAAGTATTTAACCATGGGAGTCCTTTTCAATAGAAAAGCTATTCACCTGTCACAGTTTGGGAAATGGCACACTATTTACCTTCCCCGAGACCAAACTTTTTGCACTCGCTGTTCCCACTTATTGGAATGCCCTTCTCCTATTTTATATGCCAGGGAAACTCCTTCACATGAAACAAATTTGTTATTAGCCTTTTCTGCTTACAAAAGTAATGCCATACTTGTAAAACATCATAGACATGTAACTGATGTCACCTCCCCTTATAAGGTGAGTCTGCGGCCACCTAGGGATTGTGTGGCAAGTGCTCGACACAAAACACACCCCTAGTTCCTTCTTTAAGAGTCTCCTCCCCATCTTTATTAGCAGATACCTAGTGAACCCCTCTTCTCTGCTGGGCACTGGTGGTGGGTGCTGGGGCCCCTGGCGTGGTGCTTACTGGACCTCAGCTCTGCTATTTACTAGCTGTGAAACGGTGCAGGCATGACTGGACATTCCTGTGCATCCGTTTTTCCATACATAACCTGGGGACAGTACTAGAATCTTCCTTCTAGACTTGTAAGGTTCAACTTGTCGAATACATGCCAGCTGCTTTAAAATAGTACCAGGCACAAGGTAGCTGCTCAGCAAATGCTAGCCGTTATATTACTAAAGATGAAAATACCAAAGTCCTGGGTCCTCTAGGAGCTCACAGTGACAGACGCCAAACAAGCTCCAAGAGAGTAAAGCCCCTCAGGTGCCGTCAAGCCCTGAGGCCTGGGCATTAGGCTCTGGAGGCACTCCCAGACCCACTACAGGCAGGGTTTGGCCACCACCTATGCTCTCACTTAATATCACATGAGTTCTGTGGTGAGGGGACCTGGGGTGAGCAGTAGGAACCCTTCTAAGCTCCAGGCCCTGGCCAGGGCTTGTCCAGGCCAACCAGCTCCTGCCATCCAGAGTCCTCAGGGTCCCAGCTGTTCCGTGCCCCCAATGGGCAGAGCACCCAGGGCTGAGGCGTCAGTGAGTCACCAGCCAAGCCAACAAGCCGCAGATGTCCTTCAGAGGGAGTGGGTGCCACAACGTGATAGAGGCAGAGCCGGGCAGAGCAGACAGGCCTGCCACATAATCCCACGGTGGCCGCAGGCCTCAGCCTTCCTCAGAGCACCAACGGCAGCACAGTGGGTCAGCCCGAGGCCGTGGGAGTGCCAGGCAAGGCTTCTCTCTGCTTAAGAGGTCTAACCAGTCTACAAAGGACCCCAGACCTGTACCCTTCCCTAGGGCTTTCTCCTCCCCTCCGTCTCCACTGGACAACTTGTGTGAGACACAGATTCCACCTCCAGCTGTGAAAGCTAGCTGAAGCAAAATTAAAGCAAACAAACTCAAAATTAAGGCAAGGACCAGGTCTTCCAAGTGGTGTGTCCCTTTCAGCGCCAAGGCCAGTGTCACCTAATTACACAGCAAACACTCAATGAACACTGGCTAAGGGAAGCTCCTGCATTGGCACCTCCTACTCACCCTCCTGACCCCAGGGTAGGTATGTCTGTGCATTTCAGCCACCCCTGAGACCATCTCCCTCACTTCACTCTTCCCACCTCTGTCTGTTCATTAGCTTCCAGATTTGGGCCTGGAGGATCCAAGTCCATGGTGATACTGAACATGAGTTACCTGTTTTTAAAAGCTGTTAAGATTTTGGGGCCTGTGAACCACTATAAGAATCTGAGAGCTGTGAGCCTCTTCCCAGCAAAATGCTCACACACCCAAAGATCTGCACACAATTTCTGGAGGTTTACAAACCTCCACTCAGAACAAGAGCCCTGGTTTCAATACGCCTAACTGTCTTATTGTCCACATCACACACACACACTTGTGCATGCGTATCTTGGCATGATGGAGGCAAAGGACACGCTGTGCAGATGGTCAAGGGAAGTCCGGAACCTCGCACCCATCCCCTCCCCTACTTAGATCAGATTTTCCCTGATTAAGGTCTGAGAAACGGGAGCAAAGCAAAGGAAGGCCCAGTTCTCTATGCCCATTGCCAGAGCGTGGCCTGGAGGCTGGACCAGGGCCCAGGCCCACGAGGGAACTCCTCCTGCAGCCAGATGGCAAGGCCCCTGCCTGCCCGTTGCAGGATGTGGCTCCTGCTGCTCCGACACCTGCCCTGCCAGGCCTGCCCAGATGGCCACCCTTGCACCCCTGCCAACTGCAGCAGTGGCTCTCAGGGTGGGCTGGCAGCCAGAGCCCTGAGTGGGGAGAAGGCTAATGGTCCTGAGCGGTCAGTGGCTGACACAGTGTAAGGGCCCCCTGGTCTTCAGGGTCCGGTCCAGGTCTCTGTTCTCTCGTCCGCCACATTCACTGGGATCCTTTCCCCTCAATCTCACTGGCTCATCATGGAAATGCTTCCACCATTTTATCAAACCTCACGACCCAGCACCTCTTAGAGGGTTCTGACCCACCACCAGGCTCCAGGAGAAGGAGAGAAGCAGGTTGGGCCAAGGTTCATCCCAGTCCCCAGTCTCCATCTCACCTCAGGAGACCCAAAAGCAACGAGCCAAGAGGACCTGCAGAGCTGAGAGGAGGGAAACAGAGGAGGGGAGAAGGCAGCTGTACTGTAGAGACACTGCTTCAGCAGGACCTCGGGGCAGAGGCAGGGGCTGGCCTCACCACCCAGGGGCAGTATCCCTGAGCGGGCTCTCCAGGCACACACCACTCAGTAGGCGCAAGGGGTGCCTGGACACACTGGACTTAGGGTAAAGGGCTCAGGCACCTTGTGTGGGCTCTTCCTAGGGGAAGATTCTGGGATCCCCTGAACTCTGCTCCTATAGGGTGGGGAGCTGCTCTCTGAATGGTGGGAGGCCCCCAGTCCTGCCCCTGGCCACCTTAAATGGCATCCCAGGTCCTTCTCATCACACCCAATAAAGAAACCAGAGATTGTGTGGCTCCTGGGAGATCCGGCTGGATTTCATTCCTGTCCTTATGCTGACAAAGGAGTCAGGCATCAGGCCACCAAGGTCTGAAGAGCCCACAGATGACAGAGCCAACCCAGGCTGAGGCATGCACGCCCTTGGTGAGGAGAGGCTGTGGGTCTCTGCAGGATCCGTGTGGGTGCAGCCTGTCCTTGGGGATCTCTGTGGGGAAATGTGCAGGGGGAGCTGTAGCTGTGGGGGTCCCTGTCCCTCAGGCTGCCCTGGCAATAGACAGTCACCATTCAGGACATATTTATGCACCTCTCTTTATGCAAGCATGTTTCGGGCACCTTGGAGACGCAGACACGGGGAGGACACGGTCCTTGTCTTGGAGGAGCCCACGGTGTGGTGGGCAGCCTGTTGGGCCATTCCAAGCTGCTACAGAGAGAAGGAGGGCCAGGGCCAGCTCAGGCCCATGTGCCAACGGGCAGTGGAAGGAGGAGGAGACTATGATGAATGGTAAGAACAAGGCCTAGCACATCCCTCCACCTAGTTCCCACCACCAACAGCACACCAAGCAGCACCCAGCAACAGGGGACAATCAGGTAGGAGAGGAGACTAAAGGGCATGTGAAGAAAGCGGAGCCTCTGAGAAATGCCCCTTTGAACCCTCTTCTGTGGGCTAAGGAGCCCAGCCCAGGATGGGCAGCCGTGCCCCATGGCAGGAACTAGGGGAAAATAACTCACATTCCTGAGGCTTCTGCTCTGACCCTGACACATTTCTCTCATCCAGGAAATGGGGCAGAGCAGCACTCGCTGGCTGAAAGCCTCAAGCCAGGAGCCAGTGAATCTGGACAGCAACTTTGCTCTCCAACCAAATAAATAATGTGCTCCCGTCTCCTGAGGAGAGAGAAGTAAGCCCCAGAGCTGATCTCCCGGGGGTGAGGGAAGATGGGCAACAAAACCGAGGCTCTCAGAGGGTCACTGCCACAGGGCTGGAGGGGCCTGGGGACAGCTATCCGCTGTCACTCTGCCAGGGAGGAATAAGGCTAGGTTGGGGGCATGTCGTGGGGGGTTGGCTTCTCGACCAGAGCCTCAGAGGCACGGTGGGGAACAATCAATGCCCTACTCTCGTCTCTACCCCAGTGCCTGCAGATTCAGAATGGACCCCGGGGGGAGGGAGACCAGGAGGAGAGGAGGCGTGAGCTTGCTGCTTAGCCCCACCTGGGCAACAGGTCCTGAGCACTGGTGTGGGGACAATGGAAGGGGTGTGGGAGTGGGCCTACCTGGCCCCAGTGGTCAGTATCCTTGGTGAAGACCTGCATACCTCCTGCCCTGGCCTCCTGAGAACTACCGCCCACCTGGTTCCAGTCCCACTGGGTGCTGTGTCCACTGGAGAACCCCAGCCTTCATCTCCTTCCGGGGCTTCAGCACCTGTAAGGATGCTCGGCTCCCTGAGTAGGAGGGAGAGGAGGGGGGGAGCTTTGTGCTGGCTTTGCCCTGGGGGGTGGGGTGTCAGAGATCAAAGGGCACAGAGCTGCTGCTCCCAGAGGGCAGAGAGGCCATAAACCAGCAGGGAGAGGGTGGGGGGCGGTACGTTCCGGTTAGAAAAAGGCTCGCTGATCCGGCTCCCGTGGAGCTGCGATGCCAACAGGAGAGGCGGGGAGGGGGAGGATCACCAGTCCTAGGGCGATGGTAGGGGACAGGGGCAGACTTTGGGACTCCAGTCCCAAATTAGTCGGTCGAGAATCTGAACAAAGGTGAGTGAAGGCTCGGAGACCCGGAGTCAGGGACTAAGCTCGTGTCCTCCAGGAGCCGTGACACCTAGCGGCCCGGCCCTGGCCAGGCCACCTTTGTCCCTCTTGCAACCCCTAGACCTCCGACTACCTCCCCTCCAGACTACCTCCGCCCTGCGCGGCACTCACCCTGTCGCTGCTAGAGGGGGGTCCGGAGATTCGCTCCTCGGGAGGGGGCGCTGGGGGTCCAGGAGTCTCGACCCGAATGAGGCGGTGGGGAGGCGAGCCGTGGCGCGGGGGTGGTGTGGGGCCGGGGGCGGCGGGAGTGGTGAGGGCGGCGGAGCCGGACGGCCCCCCGGAGTAAGGGTCTTCGAAGTCTCGCTCCCGCTGCAGCCGGTAAGCTGCCAGGATG